ATGATGTATTAATAATCATTTATAAACTGTCATTTATATTTTATCTATTAGAACTTTCTTAAGGATGTGTTTCAAATTCACACATAACTCGAGCGCCTTTGAATATTATTTAATGGATACTTGCGCTATATAGGGGAATTTGACTGATTGATTGATTGATAACTGATCATATTATGCCTCTTTACCCTTTCTGAATCCATGTTTAGTACATGTTGAATTGGTCGTATATAGACTCTACATTGACCTGATTTTTCTTTTATATTCAGGGGTGAATATGCCCCCTAATTGGGGTAAGCTTTCTTCCACTCCCAAAGTATATTATTATATCAAAACCCCCAGCATCCCTCAGCTTGGGAAAGTTAGCATATTGTACTTCCTGGAATTCATCCGGATTTATACTGTTATGTTTTTTTCACCAAGCCCAGCTTCTGCTAGTTGTTGCTTTTGCCAACATTTTGGTGTTATCATTGTCGATGGATCTGACAGGCAAACTATCTTCCGAGTCCATGGCGTCTTCGAGTGCTTTCCTTTTTTTTTTGGTGTAGGGGCTGTGTCTGGCTGGCATAAATCTAGACAAAATGGATCCTATAAAATACAGAACAGGTAAAAAAAACATTGAAGTAAACTTAAGGTGAATTAGGAGCACATTTCAGATCATCTGTAATAGGTCAGTGATCATCATAATTAAGGTCAGTGATATGACAAGGCCTAGGCCCTGATGTTACAGAATATTCTCGGCCCCACCCCTAACTAGGCCTAACCCCACCCCCTAAACCATATAGTAACATTAGGCCCCTATGGTCAAAAAGCCCTAATACCCCACATGCATGCCTCGTCAGTTGTCATCTCCCCGGCAGTGAAAACCGGCCAGGCAGGACCCTTATCATTTGATAAATCATTAGGCCTAGCCTCTACTAGGCCTATACTATTATTATTTCTGTATTATTGTTGCTATTATTAATATAAAAATAATAATACCTTCTCCCTTTCGAAATTCTCCAGAAGATGCATTAAATGAAGTTAATTAAGTACATCTTTAATAGGCCTAGCCTAAGTACCATTAATCCTTTGCGCAATGGTGGAAGGTACGGCGTTGCGACTTACATCTATGGACTAAACTTGTGTAGGCTCATTCCCACAGCCGCTCAAATTTTTCATTTGACCCAATGTCAAAGGTTATATTTTATTATAATTGCGCCGAATGCCAATACTACGCCGAATGCAAATGCACCGAATGGTAAAAGAGCCGAACGTAATGGTAAAAGAGCCGAATGTAAATGCGCCGAATGGTGAAAGGGCCGAATGAAAATGCGCCGAATGGTAAAAGAGCCGAACGTAATGGTAAAAGGGCTGAATGAAAATGCGCCGAATGGTAAAAGAGCCGAACATAGGCCTAATTGTAAAAGGGCCAAATGAAAATGCGCCGACTGGTGAAAGAGCCGAACGTAATGGTAAAAGGGCCGAATGTTAATGCGCCGAATGGTTAAAGAGCCGAACGTAATGGTAAAAGGGCTGAATGTAAATGCGCCGAATGGTAAGCTGTTACCGAAGGCAGCGATGGCGTTCCATAGATTTTTGTATCTATCATTTGACAGTTTACAAGCTCAGTGGTGACCAAGATGGGAATAAGAATTTGCACCAGTTGTCATTAATCGTCCTATTAAGGCACTCGTGTCTGATAGCAAAGGTTGACCTTAGCCTCTATGGCCATATCAAGTGTACATAATATTCACTGTGTCTGGTTTCTTACAAAATTCAACTAACTCATTTTTTGGTCCAGCCTTGTGGTGGTTCTGATTTATGAAATGTATTATAATTATTCATTATTAAAATCATTATGATATTAGGACTATACATCAATTGCTAAAGTAAAATAAAATAAATTTCTACGGAATCCGGTAAAGAATACCAAAAGAATATTATGTAGGTCTATCAAATGAACAAATGCAACGGATTGTTTATCATTTACATACTTCTCTATTCTTTTCTATTTGTTGCCTTCTATATTTAATATGTTTATCTACAGTAACTGTTTTAATGTCATGTGTTGTCTTTTTTTATGCACTTGATATCCTACTTAACTACCATAGTAAATTAAAATAAATACTACCAAATATTAACGCTGTGTAAATTTTCGTATAAAGAAGTTATATTTTCATGAAATACTTTTGGATTTAAATTCAAATTATCGAAAGCGTGAGGGAAACATAAGTCGCTTATTTGACACTCAGGTCCGTGCAGTGACTTTTCATTTTATCTTGTATTATTTGATTGATCGATCACCTGACTATATGATAAATTTTTATTATTATAATATATATATATGTATATATATATATATATATATGTATATATATATATATGATATATATATATATGTATGTATATGTATATACTATACTATATATATATACACTATACTATACTATTACCTATATTATTATATATATATACTATTATAATACTATATATATACATATATATATATGTATATATATATATATATATATATGCTTTCTACTTGGCTGAAAATTTTCTAACAATCACACCAGTAGCAACAATTGAATATAGGCCTACGCCTGACCATCGTATTTTTGCTGATGGGTGAACAATTAATGCTCGTATATGACAATAAATGCGATCTGAAATCTTGGAGTGTAAAATGCAAGTGTGATACATTTATGCTAAAGTTAAAATACTCTTCATGTATGGTGGTATAGTGTCATCGACGAATCAAATACATCGTAGAAAAGCGTCTTTGCAGCAAGTTTCTTGGCAACAAATTCCAACCAATCACAGGGCAGAAAAAATTTACTGCAGTGAGTTTAATTTACCGCTGCGAGTTTAGCGCCCTCCGTGAATATTTTGACCAAGCAGAGGCCAGAGAACTCGCTGCTGTAAATTTCTAATTGAACTGCAGTTCCAGAACCGAATAGCGATATCGATATCACACTCCATACGAGCCACCTAGATAGGGCCCTGCGTTGGGTTAGGGTGGTGTCGTTGACCCTCAGAGATTCGGTATACAGTGTTGTGGCGATTCTGCCAGGACCGGGATCAAAATTCGACATCCATACACAATGAAAGATCACACACAGAGGCAGACACATATGTGTTTCCATCCGCCATCTTTTATTATCCTCTCCTCTTCATCTCATAAATACAGCCCTCTCTTCCAAAGAACGCCCTGCTTGTGGCTGATCGCCACATATTCATTTTTTTGTGCCATTTCTTCGTGTTTTGTGTGTGTGTGTGTATTTCTTTATCTAAATATTTTATTTATTATATACCGGTAATGTGAAGCAAAAAAAGGAGTTTTTCGTGCATTATACGCTTTTAGTCTACAAGTTTCTTCTTATTATTATTACTATTATTATTAGAGTCGCAAGAGTATCCTAGGTAGATGAAACACTTTTTTCTTTTATAAAACAAACATTACTAGGGCCAGAGACCAAATAAACAAGTACTTTCGGCATTTTGTCGACAACATTTTCATTGAAAGTAAACAGAATTTGGGAAGATGTGGATATAAGGTCCAAATTATCATTTATATTCACAATAAGACAAATACATATAGGAACATGTACAGTATGTTCTGATGAGTCTACATTCTGATTATCAGAGTTCAAATGTCAAAAATGTCATTCCATTCACATTTTGACAATATATTGCATTAAAGCAAATAGCTACATGTATGTTCCGAATACTTTGAGACCATTCTGAGATCTGCCTATACTAACATTACGTACAAAGGTCAGAAATGTCATTTCCGATCTGAACAATTTGAGGTCAAAACTAGGTGTACATGACCAATGGTAATAGAGGTATAGATATAACGCTATAGGGTCTTTTGTGTCAAAGGTCAGACATTTTATTTCCGGTGAATTTTAGGCAAAATGTTGCATTAGTGACATTAGAGGTAAAAATGGAAATTGTTACATTTGTAGGTGAAATGTTTCTGCGTTTGTGGTTTAACAGATTTTTACATTTGTGGGCGATTTGTTTACAATTGTGGTTATTTTTACATTTGGTTGACATGTTATGACATTTGCGGATATTTTGACATTTGCGAGTAGAATGTTTTGACTTTTGTGGTTATTTTTACATTTGTGGTATATTTTTACATTATTGGGCTCTACAGAGCCATACACGCAATATTGTGGTTATGGAAAATTTTGTGTAAGCCATTTCGGCCCTTAATAGATTAATAATATAATGTACGATGTTGAATTTACTTACTATCTTCCGTTTCTCGGATCTCTTCAGTATTATTGACATACAATACACAATTGCATCAGTTCGGAGTATAACTTATACAGATCCAGAGATCCACGAGAGGGAAATAATATATTCCTATTTATAGTGAGTATATTTAACATCGTACATTATGTTATTGTTCTATTGAGGGCCGAAATGGCTTATACACAATATTTTTCCATACCCACATGTTCGAAGAAAAAGACGAAAAAAAGAAATATTACAGATTATTGTTACTATAATAATATGCCTAAATAATAAGTGAAGATGATGATAAAAAACAGTAAATATATGAATTGAATCTTCTGTTGGGGAAGCAATCAATAAATGTACGTCATATACAGTGGATTATTGAAAAAAATATATATAGTCGTTCGATGCTGGAATACTGCTTGAGGGTATTATAGTTTTTAAAGTTATCTGAATCTCAGTGGGCACGCCCTATGGACTTCACTGCAATATTTGTTCTCACGATAAAACCAGCTCAATTACCTATAAGCTTCATAAAATAAACTTACACATTTATAAAGCATCATCCCATCCTGTAATTGGCAAGTGTACTTGCTGTTGGATGCGACTAAGCTAACAAAGTTTTATAAGAATAAATATTTTTTTTTTAAATTACTTATAATTACCGTATATTTGTGTTAAGCCTATATTCTTTGTATTTTATAATTTTGTTAATAATTAAACAAGCATTACAGGCAGAATTTAAAATTTTAATAATATTTCAGTTAACTTACAGACAAAAATGCCTCGTCATCTTTAACCCATCCGACGACAATATCAGAACCAGGCATACCACCATTTGGAGAAAACCCAATGGCAACATACCCTAGTGAGTTAGCACTCATTTCGATGAGGATATCTTCTCTGTCAATCCGCCACTTAAACTTAAAATCAAACTCTTCATTAAGAAGAACTTCGTGAGTTTCATCGATAGAATTTTTAGTATTAACAAATGCCACGAGCAAGGAAATAACAAAGATGGTTTTTACTCGATTCTTGGTCATCTCTTTCGCTGTTGGCTATAACAGTTGAAATAAAGCAAATCTGGTATTGCATAAGAAACTATACAGATCCAGTATTTTTATTGGGTATAGCAGCGACCCACAAGAGGGCGACCTACTGATCCTAGAAATTGATTGGAAATGCGAAGAATATCACACTTTGATCTCTCACCGCGTAGTCCAAACACCTGAGTCATTTACTCAGCTAAATCAAAGGGTGAGTTCACTCATGTATATAATATCCATCGCAATCCAGCAGTATAGGGCATAGGAAAAAGTTGCACTTTAAAGACAACATAAGATCAGAATCATATTCATGTTTATTGTCAAAATCGATTAAAAATGTAAAATGAAATTAGTTTTCCTAGATACAGTACATAAATAAAAAATAAAAATATACAAAATAGAACCAGACAATTTCACTGAATAAAAAAAACGTATAATAACACCACCAGAGATATTGAAGTCGCAAGTGGCATAATACCTTCGCTGGCTTCATTTTCCGCCACCAATTTGTCAAAATTATATTTCATTAAGCATGAGGAGAGTGTCAATTCCGTTTATATACATACATATAATAAATGCTGTCTCTTATACACATCTAGATGTGTATAAGAGACAGGGTAGTGTGTGTGGGTGTGTAGGGTGCGTGCGTGGGGGTCTAAGTCTAGGACTATGTAAGTATTAGCATGTTCCTTAAAGATAATAAGATTAACAATAGATTAAAAAAATACATAAGCTTCGATACCAAAAATATATAACCAAGATTGAATGCTACTTTACGTTTTTCATGAACAATTTAAAAGAATCGACATTTTCTGGTAAAATGATCGACATTTCCTGAGCATTGAGTAACACGGCGGAGGTAACTCTGCGGGACGAGCCGTGGTACATCAAATTTCCTGTGTCTTCTGGATCAATGTCATTTACTGCCCAGATAAATCTTGCCTTGTTACTCTATATATAAATTATATACTTTTGAAATGTATTATTGTATTTGAAAATTGTGCTCAATTAATTTTAAAACATTTGATTAGAGTAGAGAGAACTGAAAATATAAACAATATAATTGTAGGCAGTAGATCACAGAAAGGTAATTAAGTGTTTATTCCAACATGGTCAAGCCATAGTGCACAACCTGATAGTGTGTATCCAACTTACTGTATATAACTTACAATTGAATTATAAAAGTTTCATTATGATATCACTAATGTTTTAGAAGAGCAACATACTAACCTTTATTATTATGTTGTACCGCTTACACAAAAGTGCAAGTCAACAGGATGAGGAAAAGAAATAAAGTCAATGCAAAATGACTAGATTAGAGTGACTGTTCAAAGTTCCTTTTAATCATTTGTCATGGCTCGAAAACATAATTATAACATGAGCTAATCAGTAGGTAATAAATAAGATAAATCATTTTTCTATGAATGTTTAGTTTGAACAAAATAAATAAGCGGACCTATAGTAGACCTTTCAGCTAAGTCCCGGCCCTTAGTTATTGTTGCAAAGGTCCAACAAACGACAGTGTAACAATATACGCAACCACTGAGACAACACGTGTGTTTTTTAGACACATGCCTATTCCTGACACTGTTCTATGTTTGGTCAGTTTTTAGGATTGATTGACACTCCGGGAAGGTCCATTACGATTACGACGTAAATTCAAACACTTCTAAAGATGAGTATTCTGAAAACATAGTGTAGAAATAAACGTTTAATTGTAATCTTTAAAATCAATTAAATACGAATGATAAACACCTTAGCTTACGGGATATGAAGCCTCTGGAACCCACCGGGGCGTTGCACTTGGAACAGATCTACAGGTTTTTGGCATTCTCCCTCCCTCCCCCCCCCCCACATCTCCCTCCTTATTTTCAACTTTCTCGGTATAGGCCCTATCTGTGCAAGATCAGTGGTAAAACCAGTGGAAAGAGAGGAGGGTTAATGCCTTTTCAGTCGCGAAGACTTGCCACAACATTTCCTGGGTGTTCAATACATTTCTTAGAGAAAAAAAGAAATCCTATGTAATTTTTACAAATTTTGAAATTGTAAAAATCGAATAAACGAAATGTTAAAATCCGTAAGTTAGTAAAGTTTCTGGAGGTTTCACCTCCTGTGATAACTTGAAGTTATAATGTATCTACTATTAGACCTTTTGAAGTATACTACAATAATGCATTTCGAATGTTTCTAAAGTTTCTATGTTTCTGCAGTGCTAGTAAAATGTTCGTATCTAGAAATATTCCCTCTTTTCAATGAATATATTGAAAGATCCATTATCGAATTTCGAAAAAGGGTCACTAATAGTTGCAACAAGTTAGTTGATACTGTGTCACAGCACATTATTAAAAGCTTCAAGCTTTATCTTAAATGGAACACCTTCTTTTTTTTTTCTTTTTTTTTTTTTTGTATTCATCTTATCTTTCATTGTAGATTTTAGTATATGGATATATTCTGAAATAAAAATAGAATGAATAAATGAATAATCACCCAAGCCATATGTACATTTATTTAAGGGTTGTATTTTAATTAAGGCACTATCCCCTTTACTCTATATTGTACTAGGCCTAGAGTAGTTTATGCCCTTTTGGCAGAAGATGGAGCTATAGGGACTTGCTTTGCAATCCCAGGGCCTTTCTTCATCCTGTTCACAATGTCATTGTTGGATTTTTTATGGCGAGTATACATGCTGTTAGATGTGAAGGAAATAACATTTTAAACAAAATGTTACAATGTTAATTACCACATATACCGTAGAACTTCGAATGCAAGCCCCATGAGCTTAATCTCGAGAAAAAGCCTAGTTTGCAAAAGTAATCTCGAAAAGAATGTACAGTCCGCCATCCAATTCGAGACGACTTTGGAAACTTGAAATGTTGGGTGGTCTCGGGGTTTGGTCTCGAATTAGAAACCAGTAAAGAGAAACCACTGGTTAGGAGTGGTCACCAAACAACATAATTATAGGATAACCGTACTTAAATTCTCGAAAAAAAGAAACGACCAAAGAAGTGCTCGGACACAGGCATTAGGACAATTCAATGTATTGTTTTAATGTTGATAACCTGCAAACATTTCGTTCGTATTCAATGCCTTCAACTCGTTTGATTTTTTTTTTCAAATCATGATTTGGATGTTATTTTGTCAATTGAATATACAGAATTTCGAATCAACATATACCCTAGTGAGTCAGCACTCATTTCATTGAGGATATCATCTCCGTCAATCCGCCTCTTAAACTTTAAAATCATAACAAATGCCACGAGCAAGCAATAACAAAGATGTTTTTCACTCGATTAAAAAGATCGGTATATAAGCATTCTTTTCTGCAAATTCTGATTTTCATATATTTTAAAAATATTAACAGTAACTTTTTTGTTTAATGTACGGAATGTTTAAACAATACAAAATTGCAAAAAAATAATGCAATAAAAGTTATACATTACTGTGTTATTACAATATTTCGTGTGTATCGGATGGGTGAAATTATACAAAATACCAGTTGTGAGCCCATTATAGGCCTACTACTCTCATGAACAAACTCTGTTTGGCTGATTAAAAATAAAATTGTATTTTTGATGCAATACCTGTATTTAACTTGTTTGTTGGTTTGAGAGAGTATTTCAACAGTATTAGCCCTACCCAATTGCTTGCATTACACACCAATCAGAAACAAATTTAGAACTGTCAAAGTATGGGAATCAGAGCTGACAACTTTGCTTAGCATAGGCCTAAACATGGAGGAGTCCAAATGAATGTTCCCGGTGGGTACGACAAAATAGCATTCAGTAAATTGACTATATCTGAAATAAAATCAATATAATACCTTCTCATCATAAGTAATTGAACGACAAGTCATTAATGTTATGCATAAACAATTTCTAATATAGAAATCAAATCAAATACAAAGATGATAATTCATTTGTCTTAACATTTAAAAAAAAAAACCGAAGATTTCTTTAGGGCAATAACTATTGATAACATGGTCGCGTCGTACGTCGCTCCCTGAGTTGGCATGTAGTCAACAGAGAAACGAAGTAATTAAAACAAACGATACATTAGCATTTTATGTATTTTCGACGCTTATGAAGATAATTCATACAAAAACCTTACACATATGAATACCATTATTTTATAATGCTTTTAGTAATTTAGCGGAGATGAAGCAGCCTGTTCATAATCTTGATTAATGCTCTACAACGTCAACTTACACGACAAAAGGAGTGTAATCGACAAAGTTAATGATAACCTTCCTGGAATCACTAACATTCATAGGCATGGTACAAACGCCTATTTTACAACACGATCATTCTCGCTGAACCACGCAGGAAAATCATGATACAACTGTACACCCTGGAAAAATAATTACATAAATTTTGTAAAATTAGTGGAATTTACTGTACTTCTAGCCTAATAATAATAATAATAATAATAATAATAATAATAATAATAATAATAATAATAATAATAATAATAATAATAATAATAATAATAATAATAATAATAATAATAATCTTAGAATATAAACCCTCGCCCCCTTGCGCCATCTATGTGTATAGTCGGTTCGCTTTATCCGCTGGTTGTATAATGGGGTGTAATATTATTACCTATACATTCGTATCAGGTAAAGTGTAGCCGAGTGGTAATGCTGCGTGTTATTATGTGTTAAGTTAATCGAATGTATAGGGCTATGTACTCCCTATTTTGACGAATTTTGAGCTGAACGTTTGGATAATTGGTATGGTTCCTGCCTTTTGCATCAAAAGCCCGGGTTCGATTCCTGGCTCTGTGTCGAGTATTGGATTCCGGTCTTTTATAATAACAAAACACGCTCAGCTCATTGAATAACCTTCTTAGGAGAGTTAAGGACGATGTTTGTATCTGTTTGTATCCGTTTGATGTTTATTTAAAGCATTAATTTGTAAGTTAGCTACCGCACCTGCTTACAGGCATTGCCTTCTTAATTTCCGCATTGTACCATAGGTGGTGGAATGAATAAAGATTCAATACGTTATAAGTGACACAATTGGCCTTCAATAGAAAGGGTATTAGTTATGTATTTAGATACATAAAAGCTATTTTCACAATGATTAATTAATATTGATACATTAATACACTCTTTTATTTCTTTTATTTTTTTATTTTTTATATGTATATATATATATATATATATACATATATATACACAGGTATATGATATATGT